TCTGCACTGGGAAAGTGGGAAAGGTACTTTGAACCTAAGAGCCCACCTATGGAATGCTCCAGCCTCTAAAAATGCAAATTCACTTGAAAGGGGATGGGATGACTGAGAATATTGCTGGTGTCATTCTCTGCTCTAAAACAACTGCCCAGGGAAGTGTTTCCTCAGGCTCAGCTGTCCTGACACACAGAGGACTCTACAGCTGTGGCAGAGGGGGCCAGACTTCATCTCAATTGGCAACAGCACTGGCTTTGCAGGCAAGAGTGAGGGTCATGGAGGCTTTGTGCCAAGGTCACAGAAAACCACTAAGGCCAGGCAATGGGTAGCTGCATTGGATTCCTTGTAAGGAACTCTGAGAGCCCAACTGCTTGAAGCTCTGTCGGTGAAGCCCAAGCTGTAATGGAGCCCATGGGATGCTGTAGATGCCAGAATACAGGACATTAACTTAGTAACAGGATAGGCATGGAATGGAGCCAGCCTGAAAGAGAAGCTGTGTCCTGAACATAATAGAGCTGAAGGGTGAGGGCTATGTAAGACTAGGGATCCCAGTTGGTATCATTAAGAGCTCCAGATGCTGAATATGCAGCTGTGGGATTTGCATTTGCTGAGTTAGGTTTAGTCTTGTTTTGGCCTGACATTCCTCGTTATGCTCCTATTCCACCTTAGATTGTTCATGGTCAGTGTCTCTGCTGGTGGCCAAAGGTGAACCATTATTTTCTCATCAGAAAACATAACCATATTTCTGAGCCTTTTACAAGAATGACAGAAAACACTCTAAGGAAGGTGGTTGGCATGGTGTGTGGTACATAATGGACTGCTATGTTTTTGGTTGTTGTTGTTACTGTTGGTGGTGATGGTAGTGTGTGTGTGTGTGTGTGTGTGTGTGTGTGTGTATAAGCACATTTCTTTATAAACTGCTTAGCAGATATATTCATATTAGGACACAGACAGTGCTCAAGAACAATGAAACTGGGACTTCTGGATCTTATCTCAGATAAAACCTGACTTCCAGCCTTCAGAGAGAGCGGGAACTTTGCTTGGAGAGTTTGTTTTTCTTTTTCTGTAAACTTCTCTTTCTTGCTTCATTATAGGCCTGTTTCTCGTGTCTCAATCTGACAAAAAAATAATCACATGAGACATGGTTAAGAAGTGTTTCCTGTTCTATCTTTTATTTAGGCACTGCTGGAATTGCACCAAATGATTAGTCCAACAGTGCACTTCTCTAAACACCAGGTCTTGCTTTTCCTTGACCAGTCCGAAGAAGTCTTAAAGCATCTTTTCTCTCCCTAACAACTTTGTGCAAAGCATCCATTGATGTTGTTTTAACCTATGCTGGATATAAACCAAAGTGAAGTGGCTTATGAGTGCATGGGCTGGGAATGTAGGTGGGCAGGACGGAGATGGACAAGTTCCTGCTCATGTTGTTAGCTCAGCCACTTTCAGCTCTACTCCAGCTGTGCCTCTGTCTTCTCTTTCCCTATGGCTGGCTGGTTTTCTCTAAGACTTGACTGGACTCAGAATGGTAGGAAACGGCCAGCTTGAAGCTGTGGAAGGTCATTCTACCACAGACTATCAGATTAAACAATTCTGAAAGTAGGTCATATTGACGTGTGCCTATAGGAGGGCAGGAGTTGCCATCTCTGAAGTTGGCTATAGTACTTGAATGATTCCCCTTTGATCTGGCTCATTGCTTTTTAATAATAGTCATGGCTTCACCTTGAGGGCAGAACAGTTTCCAAGTCACTATAGGAACTGAAGGTGCAGTGAGGGGACATTCTCACGTGGCGATGGCATTTTCACTCTAGATTCAAGAGGTCTCCGTGAATTTCGAGTCCAATAGTTCTGTCAGCCAAGTCATAAACTTGTTTTGAGGCATCTAAAAGAATTAAAACATAGAAAAACTAGTTAAATAGGTAATCACCACCCCCATTTTTAGAACCATAGGAAAAATAAACTTGACCCAGAATGGTTTTTGGTGTGTGTGTGTGTGTGTGTGTGTGTGTGTGTGTGTGTGTGTGTTGAATTGGAACTGACATGTTCTCTTGAGGTTCCTTGAATCTTTTCTGTGGGTGAAAGAGCTCTTATTTATCTTTCAAGAGAGGTCACATGTCACTTCCTTGATGAAGCCCCTGTTGACACACCTGCCATCAGGTAAACTTGATTACACCCTTTTTTGCTTTAGGCCTTTCTGCAATCTGAAAGCCCCCACCTTAATAATTATAAGTTTATTACCCTAATATAAAGGTCAATCAGGACATTCTATGTCCAGTGACATAAGGAAACTAATTTCTAAGCACATGCCATGTGCTATGTGCGGGCTACACAGAGGACTAAGGCTTGGGAAACTCACTGTATGTTTAACATAGACTATTTCAGGGTTAGAGATCTCTATAGGGTTTTGGGAGTGATTTTTCTTGTTGCTATGACCAAATATCTGACAAGAGCACCTTTAAAACTGTCACCCACCATGGCAGGGAAGGCAGAATAGGTCACATCACTATGGAAGGGAAAACGCTACAAAAGAGTGCAGGCAGAGGCCAGAGAAGCACATAGTCCCCAAGAACATTGCTCCAACCATTACTTCTTCCAGTGAGCCTCTACCTTCTACCTTTCAAAAATTCCTCAAAGATGCTACCATATTATGAATTCATCCAAGGATTAACCCATCCATTTGGTCAAAGCCCTCATGGTCTAATAGTCTGTGTAACTATAGCATTGTCACAGGCACAGCTGAAGGTGTGCTTTATTGATCTCCCAGGTTCTTATTAATTCATTTGAGTTGTCAATAAAGATTAACCATCACATGTGTATTACAGGAGCCCAGGAGAAGAGCACCCCGCCCCTGCAGTGGAGAGTTTCTTGGGGCTTCCTAGAGAAGGTTTGGTTGTTGTAACAGTGTACTTCATCAGATAGATGATCTTTAACAGCTCAACTCCAATAGGAATCATCTTGGTGCCAAAGTGGTTGAGGGGGCCTTAGCATAACTGCTGTGGGCTCAGAAAAGAGGTGATTCCTGGGTTGTCTTCACTTCAGGGTCCTGGGATGAAGCAATGCCTTTCTTGGTTTGGTTAGTATGTAGAACAAAAATGATGGTGGAACCACATAATAAGTTCCCAGACTTTCTCCTAAAGAAAGCAGCACATGAAGTTGGAGATATGGCTCAGCAGTTAAGAATATTGGATGCTCTTTCAGAGGACCCAGGCTCAATCCTTAGC